CTGACGTAGAACTAACTGGCCTGCAGAAGATAACGGAAAAAAACACAGATTTTAAGACAGGATTTTTTCTTTTTTATAGAAAATTTCTAACTTCTGGGACAATATGGTCTGACAAAGAAAACATTTATATACATGTTTAAGCCTGAATGATTTGACATGTAAATATGATTTCCCTACAACTTTTAAGAAAGAAAAATCGGGCTTGGAGGTGACGCAGCAGTTAGCGCGCCTGACCAATGCACGGAGAACAACCCAGGACTCAGCTTTCAAAAACCTCCAATGCAGTGATAGAGTTGATTCCTTCCCGCTATCATCGCAGCCCCACCCCCTTTATAGGAGAACAGAAGACCTCCCCTATTCAGCCAGACCAGCAATTCCCTCTAATGACCCCCCTTTCAGAGACATAGACAGGTATGGGGCATTGCAGGACACTGGATAAAACCTGGAACTAAACGCTATTTCTGACATTTTGAATTTAAAAAGCTTCCTGGATGGAAGAGAAACGTCTTCAGACTTGGAAACAAAGTCCAGAGGATTGATTTTAAACTTTTTTGGAAGTTCTTACACATCATGCTAACACGGTTCCTCGCCTCCTTTTGGTGGTCCACGGGACTACAGCTCTCAAGGCGGGAATTACGCAAACAGAAATGGCGGCTCCCAGGATGTGCCTGGATAGCTTCCTCCACCCAAAGTTTAATGAGAGCCTCGGTTTCAGCATCATCACAGGATGAACCACAGGCTTTTAATGCCAGTTATTGTTAATAAGCTGAGAAGAAATTCGTGTTGTGAATTGCAAAGCCGAACACGCCGGAAAACCTGCAAAATAAGTCATCTGACTGTAAATAGGAGACGAGGCGGTCCGCTAACGCTAGCCACAGATGAACCGTGCCGAGTCCTGCTGTTGAACTACCGGTAGTACTAGATTCAGCGCGCTTCAGTTGTCTCTGGCACGGTCCAGTTCCATTTACACTCAACAGTTACCATGGTTACCATGATCGGACCGGCTTCAAAAGGCTAGAGTAAATGAGGTATTTATTTCAGTCTAACAAGAAAGTTGACTTTTCCCTCTTTTGTGTTTTAAATTTAACAGACATCTGTCAGACTCGTCAGGTAGTTTACCAAAGCAGAGCTTCTAAAAACCCAAACCGAGGGACCAGCCAGGAATCAAAGCTCGCAGAGTTCAGTCCAGTCTGAGCCTTTTACTCCGTTAAAGCTGCGCGACCTTCACCATCCCTTAAACGCCACGCTGAGGTCAGGTCATGCGCCCCAGTCTCCATCTTCATGGACTGCAGGATGAAGAGCGCAGCAACCTCCCTCCACCAGACCAGCTCTCCTCTGACAGCCAGTCATGGACTAAACTGTATCATAGAAAATGTGGGGACCCTCCTCCCCCACCTGTTTCTGTGGCATTAGATGCTGGTTTTTGGGTTGTTTTTTTTTCTAAATTCTGTTGACCTA